GGACATCAAAGGTGCTAATTTACTTGTTGATGCGTATGGAGTTGTCAAGCTAGCTGACTTTGGGATGGCTAAACATGTATGTCTTTCATTCGGTACTTCTGTTGATATTTGAGCTGGTGTATTCATTGGTCAATCTCATTGCTGAACGTAAAGTTTTCTGTTTGTTACATGCAGCTCAGTGGGGAAGCAGCAAATCTATCATTGAAGGGTAGTCCATATTGGCTAGCCCCAGAGGTGTTTAAACATAAAAAGTCGCTATCTAATTTTTTTTATTTTGTTTTCCCTTCAATAGTAAAACTATTGCTCACAGTTCTAACGTTACTTCATTCGTGTTTCAGTTATTGCAATCTGTGATGTCAAAAGATGCCAGTACAGATGTTGCTTTAGCCGTGGATATATGGAGCTTAGGCTGTACCATTATCGAGATGATGGATGGGAAGCCTCCTTGGAGTGAGTATGAAGGGGTAAGCAACTGTAATCCCAATAATAATGATTTTTAGTAAATAAACGAATTAGTTAACCTCAAATTATATTTTCCATATGTTGCTGCATCCCATTTTTAGTTTTTATTTTTTATTTTTTTAAATAAATTGGAATAAGTAGTTTATGTAAAGAAATTAATCTCCTCTAATCACACACACACACACACATATCCAAATATCCATACTTTGAAATTAATGCTTCTTTCAATGCTTAACTATGTGCAATGTTCAATTTAAGTATTTTGTTCTTTTTTTTTTTTTCTGATGAAAAAAATGTATTCAGGCAGCAGCATTGTTCAAGGTACTACAAGAGAGTCCACCAATACCCCAAACACTATCGGCCGATGGAAAAGATTTCCTGCAGTGCTGTTTCCGTCGGAATCCTGCTGAAAGGCCCACCGCAACAAAGCTTCTCGAACACCCATTTGTCAATGGCTCCTCTCACCACCAATCAAATGCTTGCATCCAGTCACTCAAAGACATGAGATTAACGGTAAACTACTAAAAAAATCGTGAAATTTACAGATCATTTTTCCTAACAAATATTTTACTCTCTTAAAGACAAAAGTTATTTTTTATTATTATTGTTTTTTTTAATACAAATGTTGTACAGTAATTATCCCTAAAGTACTAGTTTGTCTTGCTGTTGTTATCTCATGTGCGTATTTGTATACAAAGTTAATTTTGAAACAGGTAGTATGGTTAGTTGTTAGTGGGATTTTGATTTTATATTAAAATAATATTTAAAATAAAATAATTAAAGTTGATTTGATGAAGTAGGAGAGAGATGATGTGAAGTGACAGTTAGTTAAAATTTTGTGAGTGGATGAATAGTAAATTAAAGTTGATGTGTAAGAATGATTGGTTGATATTATATTAATAATATTGACAATAGTGGAGCTGGGTTAATTTGAATCAAATTTTGAGTATGAATTGAGTTTTGTGATATACAGACACACCCTAAGACTGATTTTTATGCATGATTGAACAGGATAAGGTAAATAGAGAGTTGGGCCGTGATAGTAAATTTGATCAGGTGCCGGCATCATTAGGCCTACAGATCAAGAAAGGGAAAGTGGCTAACATATAAAGAGCTGAAAGAAACTGGCCTTGTTTTTTTTGGTTTTGGCCACTTCAGCTTCACATTGTGCTCCTCCATTCCTCCTCAATAAGACGAGCCCCAATTTTTACGCAACCTCATGAAATTGGGACCGAGTTTATATTCTATTCGGGAGCTTGCTTGCAGTGAAGGGAAGTTGGAGAGGGTGTTTTGGTAAAACTATTATGAGGCTGCAATTCAATTTAATGAGAAAGGAGAGGGTTTTGCAAATGTACTGACACTGTAAAATATCCGTTTGGAATGTATGACTGCTGTAAATTATTTGTTTGGAAATCATCAAATTCATGAATTTTCTTGAGTTTCTTTACTTTCTTTCCTGGGCTTTTCGTCTTTTTTCCTTTCCGGTTGGTCCTCCTTTCGCTTGTCCATAGAAGTGCAAGCATCCTGGTCGATGTAGAGCAAACTGGATTTCCAGCTCTGTAAAATCAAACCCAGACATGGAATTAAACTTTCACAATCTTGAAGGAGTTTAATGTAGGTGCTGAATGCAAAATACCATTCATGGGGGCATAAGTAATATATAAATAGGTATTTCAATCTTATACATTGGGTTTAACTGATGTTATTTTAACTGATGATTTGCACATATTCATTTTATAAAATAACATTTTCATTTTAAACTGGTGTTTTGGTTTATTTACACGCGAAAGAATAAAAAATGAATGAATAGGCAAAAAGTAGACAACGAGTCGGCGACATATTGACCACGGATTAGGTGGTCGGTCCGCCTTTTTCTTGCAAAAAAAAATTGTGGCAAGTGGTAACAATAGAAATAAATAAGAATAAAACATATGAAAAGGAAAGAAAATCTTTTTATTATGGTTTTAGCTTTATAATTTAAGTCGGGAATAATCAAGATTGTGGAGAAAACGAGCAAATCATGGAAAGGATATTTAAAGATACACACTTACACACAGTCCCTTTTGGTTATAGCTTTTTGAACCACTAATTATCGTAAAAAGCCCAAACAACACACTACTTACTTCATAATCCACAAGAAGAAAAACATCAGAGCAATTAAAAAATAAAAATATATTAAAAGATTGTAAAAGCATATGGATCCACCAGAGCCTCAATCAATTGAGAATTCGAGCGCTAACCATGCTCAGACTGAAGATGAACAAGACAAAGCTGTTAACGAATGGTAAATTTCTCATTCTTTTCTTTTATTTAGGCTTTTCTTTTCTTATTTTTAGCTCTATTTTGTTATCAACT